CTCCCTCCCCCCCCCCGTCGCCCCCACTCGTCAGCTCAGGACAGCCCGAGCCTGGGGCGAACCGGCAAGAGTTAACGGCGCTTAGTCCAACCTCCCGCGGCTATTTGCATGGAAATAAGGCGCAACGCCATTGTTGCCGCCGCGGACGCGGTCCTTGAATGCCCAGGAAGGGCGGTGGCTGTGGGAGGGAGGCGACTGGGTTGAAGTCAAGGCTCTGGGCTGAGGCAGAGGCGCTTCTGCTGGTGCTTGACGCCGTTCGGTGCGGAAAGGAAGCGCTTACAAAGGTTGCCATTGGCAGCGGTCTTCCGTTCTCCCCAGCTCATCGGCTGAAGAGGCAGAGCGCCTGTGCAAACACTCGGCCTCCTCCCTCCCTGTGTCTCCCCCATTTTTCGACCTCCCTCCTACCTTCCCTCCCCCCCTCTGCAAATCACGCGCGGCCTCGCCTGCCGCTTCCTTCCCTCCTTTCCCCTCCCCATTGGATATACTCCCGGTTTGAAAACACGAGACGGAGGAGGGTGTCCTCTGAAATGCCCATACTCGATGGCCGTGCCCCGCGATTAAAAGGGAGGAGACTGAGGAAAAGGGCTGCGGGGCGACAACGGTCCGGGAGTCATTCTCACTATGCTGCTGTACTCCTTTCGCTGTGGCAGAGGACGAGGGAACACAAAAGGTTCGGCGTTCAAAGTGACGGCCTTCTCTTTGCCTTCTGTTTCCCACCCACCCACACAAGTTCCTTCTTGGAAAGAGGCCATTAAAGTCCGGGAAGAGGAGAATCCCCGAATTTTCAGGGCGTTTAGAACTGGGCCGAAGGATCAATTTTCTACTAAGTGCTTTGAAGGGACTTTAAAAAAAAAAAGTTCTCATAGAGACTTAATATTCACAGAAAGGGAGAGATTTAAGTGCTGCCAGGCATAAAACAAAACAAACATGAAAAAGGCCTGGGAACTTTTACTTCAAAAGCGCGGAAAGCATCAATGCTTGCACGTTCCTCCTTTCCAACTTCCTGTATTATGATCAAGTTGGAATTAACTCACATTTATTAGCAAGTTAGCATTATTGGATTCATTGATTCTAAATAGCTAGTTAGTATAACTTCACTCACACTACCAGATACCATTCTAGTCTTTATCTAATTAGGTTGTCATTTTCTTTCCCAAAAAGCTACATCTCTAGGTTAGCTCTTCTGCTAACTTAATGTCCCTATTTTGATAAGAATGAACATTAGGACCCAGGAAAAGTTTATCAAAATGTAAGCCTGCACTGAATCTAGCTGAGTCATGTGAAGACACGCTTATTTTTTTTTTAGAAGAAGGTCTGTGGCATTTTTGTAGACAGAGCTAAGTTTCGATGTGCAGCTACCAACCAATAAAAAAAACCCTCCCCTTTGATTGGAAGTTTGCTGTCTAACACTCAGGTCTCTCTCTTTAAGGAACAGAAGAATAAAGAAAAAATAACTTTTGCTGCTTTAAAGTTTAGCTGGTGGGGGGAGTATACCAGTCATAGACTGGAAATGCAAGCCCCCCCCCCCCCGCTTTTTTTTTTTTT